TTTATTGTGTGAATCAGTGCAATAAAAGGCCTCAGGTCAGTAAACAGACTCAGCATCTGGAGCTGATGGATGTGTATCTCATAAAGTATAACTGCTGGTGGAACCAGTTGATGAAACAGGGGGGAAACTGGAACTTTCTGACTCCCTTCTTCAACACTAACTGGGTCAAGGTTGATAAGCCCTTGAGTGCAGTACATAGAAACAGCTCTGGTCATAAAATACAAGCTGCTTGGCGTCTGGTCTGAGGGTACTTGACTCTAATTGGTCAGAGGATAATGATAAATGTGTTGGTAATTTACAGGCTGCTATGCTGGTAATAAAAAAAAAAACAGATGTTTTGATTCTGGTCAGCAGAGATAAAGGCGGTTAAATTACATTTCTATAATTATCAGGAGGAGCAATATTAGACATGTAATTTAACACCAGAATGAAAGCAATGCTTTTGTTATTGCAATACAGCACATGTTTCTATCTCCCGTTTGAGACAGCTAAACTGGGAGACAGGCTCATATTTCTGATATAATTAAAGTAAAAACGCCCCAAGCAGCAGCTCCCAGTCCCCAAAAGCAAAGTGTTTTTTACAACTGCTGGGCAATGAGGAGAGTAAAAGGTCTAAATATCGTTAAAACTGGAGATCAATGAAACCCTGGCAGAGTGTAGAGTTAACTGTAAAACTTTGCTGTCGGGATGGAGACAAAACTTAACAAGACCCAGTGTGTGAAAGGCAATGTGTGTGTGAAAATCAACAAAGTATAGGTGTATCGAACAGAAAAAGGCACCTGAGGTAGGAAGCACTAATGAAATAAAATCCTCTAAAACATTTACTCAAGTCCCGACAAATGGTAATTGGGATTGGAAAGATGGAAGAGGCAATAAGATGAAGAATAAGAATGATGGGTGCTGGGGAAATGCAATTTGATATGATTTAACAAACCAAAAGGAAACTTGTTACACAAGTGTTCAGCAGAATAAAATAAATCGCTTAAAATTACGTTAGAAAAATTGTTGTTTTCTTTCCCAGTGCAGTGTAATCAAACTAAATCAGCATTCATCCACTGATTTCAGCGCTTTATGGAGGCACTGATTGCTTTAATCAATTGTCAAAGTTGATTACTTCAGTTAAAATAAACATCTATAGTGATGATAAAGAGAAAATGTACTATATTAGGTTCTACATGTCAGGAAACATTCTGATGTTTGCCAGAGTGAGAAAACACAACTAAAAATCAATATAGATTAATTGAATCAGCAGACTGTTTTGTAAATCTGACAGGGCAATGTGTTTGCTGTGTTAGTATCATTAACTTTATTTCTTAAATTGCTTAACAGCTGCCTTAGGTTAGCTTTTAGTCGAAGTGAGATCAAATGTACCACTTCTTCCAATGGATTCCAATAAAGCCAATATGCATTAATCTATAGGACAATATTGATAATTTTGCTTGTTTAAAGATCATCTGTATATTTAATCTGCTTAAAATCACAGTCCTTATCTAACTAAAGAGACACAGAAAAATCTGTTTTGTAGATCTAGACAGGACTGCAAATTTTTTAGTTCACAGTATTCATCACACCTTAGAGTGTACCGGTATTAACTTTTTAGTGTTAAGGTTACTGATTGAGAAAGAGTTAGCGTTTCTCTACGGTAACCATTGGATAATGGTTTTTCCCTAGGTTTTCCTTCTTAACTGCTAATATAAACGTGAAAGATAATTAAGAATATTTAGAATAAGTAATTCTCATCATGTTTTTAAACTGATCAAAATCCCTGTTTCATGACTTTCTGAGGGTAAATGTCACCTCTTATCCTAATAAATACAATTAGGTCGCTAATGACAAGAAGGGCACAATAAGCTAATTTTAATTCTAACAAAGTTGTTAAAGTTCCTGTGCATAAAAACTAAATCAGAGGCAACTGTTTTTTGCCTCTCAAGTCTTCATATCATACAGATTCTATTATTTGGCCACAAAACATATTTGTGCATCTCTCTGAATATCAGTCTTAATGAAGTTACATTACACACTTTATTTGACTTTGGTGAGTAACAGTTCATGAAGTCCACAAACTGTAGTTAAAAGCCTTCAGCTGATCCAAAATGCTGCAGCCAGAGTTCTGATGAAAATTTAAAGAGAGATCATATCTCTCCTATGCTGGCTTCTCTTCATTGGCTTCCTGTTAAATTCAGAACAGAAAAAATGGCCTTTCACAGTCAAACGGCAGTCGAATGTCAGCCCACCTTCCCTGCAACTCCCAGCAAAATCTCAGGAGAAGGTGCTTCTCTTTAGATCTTAATGTCCACAAATCATGACAGAAAAAATATTTTAGCCCAAAGATTGATATTTAAAAAGGATTTTTAGGGGACCAGCCAAGGGCCTGTCAACGAAAAAATTTGAATGGCTACTACTGTATTAACCCTTAAATTACCAAGTTCCATCTTATATCAGAGATATGATTGTTCCTTACAGTATGTCCCTTACAGAGCACTTTGCTCTCGATCGGCAGGTTTACTACTGGTTCCTAGAATTTCTAAAAGTAAAATGGGAGACAGATCTTTTAGTTATCATGCTCTTCTCCTGTAGAAACATCCACCTGTTTTAGTCCGTGAGGCAGACATCCTGTCTACTTTTAAGGGTTGGCTTAAAACTTTCCTTTTCATAAAGCTTATACAGTAGTTACAATGATTCAGGTTATCCCGAGCTATCTCTATAGTCAAACTGCTAGAGGACATAGGGACCCTTTTTCATCATTCTGTGTCATTCTATCTCTATTATCCCATTCTGTAGTATTTGTTAGTTCAGTCTCGTACTGTATGTTATGCTCTCTTTGTTTTTTCTCACAGTAGCTTCATCTGGTCTGTTCCTCTTTGGCCCCTGACACCATCCTGGAGAGAAATATTAGCTATATTGCTGCCATCAACACCTTTGTTTATACGTATACAAATAAAATTTTGTTTTGTATATACTCTGTGTGAACAAAATGACAATAAAACTTGTATAAGTCTAAGGAGCTTGGCCTGTTTTTCAGTGTAGTCCTGTTTCTCTGACTGTGGCTAATTGTATGTGCTCTCTTCTTCTTCTGACATGGGACTTACTCGTCAGCCTGGCTGTGTGTTTCCTGGATGGGGCCGCCTGTGGAGCTGGTTGACAGTTGCCTTTTGTATCTCTGCTTCTTTCTGTATCTCTGCTTCTATCTCCTTGAACCCGAGTCGGCCTCTGCAGATGGCTCTGACTGAGGGAGTTTTTCCTCTCTGCTGTCGCTACAAGCATGCTTGGTGTAAGGAATTACCTTCGAGTCAATGAGTTGATGTATCAACTGGTTTTGCTTAGATAGAAAACTTTGAATCAATCTGACGATATGATCTAGTTGAATTGTCTCTATAAAGTGCCTTGAGATTATATGTGTTGTGAATTGGTACTATATAAATAAACTGAATTGAAACTTAATTAAATAAAATAGGATGTAAAATTAATTATTTTATCCAGTTAGGTAAAGTACCTTTTGACATGCTATCCTTCTAACCACACTGAAGGTGATTGAAGGTGTTAATTAACACATCTAACAGCTGGATGAATAGCTGTATCTAATCAGAAGTGCTAAAGCATGAGCAAAAAGTCTGCAGAAGCAGCTAGAGATTGTTTCCAGCTAAAATCACATGACCCTTCCCATCCAAGGACACCAGTGATATCTTTATTCATTAGAGGAGCTTAATTAAAAGTTTTAAATGATCTCTGCTGAGTGGTAGCAGCTACAATAAACACGTATTATTTCTTTAAGGTGCTTTCTGCAGCTCTCATAGATCAAGAAGATAAACAACTTAAAGATACTACTTAGTGCTTTTAGAAAGATTAATTATAGTTAGCTCAGTTTTTCCACCTCCATGTAGGCAAACACCTTTGATTACTTGATGCGAAGCATTTTATTTTATCTTTATTTACCAGATTATAACAAAATCTGTCATTTAAAAGACATTTATTAGCATTATGAACAGCTGCCGTGAAACATTGGAGCTGCATGTCAGAATGCTGCATAGATTTCTGAAAGTTTCGAATCGATGCGTCATTCGGGGCGGCTGACAATTACTTACATTACGTCTTGCATGTTTCTATCTCAGTCTTGGTTATATCTGGGCGATCTAATACAGGGTTAGATCAAGGCTATCTAATACAGATGTTATTGCTAAATGTGGAGTGTGTTCTACTAAGGCCATAGAATAAGCAAATAAAAGACCAGTTTTGCACACACACACCATGCAAGCTGCGGGGGGGGGTTGTTTAGGCAACTTTCGAGTTGTCCAGTTGTGAATCAACTCAGCCTAATTAAGTGGACAGGTCAACTTCGTTAAGTTTTGTGGCCCCTCGATTGGTGGTCATGAGATCATTTTCCAAAGCCTAAAAACTAAATAATTTAAAAGGAGCTCTGATAGAACCAGATAATCAGCTATAACCACTGTCAAACCGAACATGCACAAAGAAGAATATGTAAAATTTTTTAAAATGTTTATTTTGTTTGTTCAAATAAAAAAAAACCTCTGTAGCATATCTTTAAATTATTTTTTCACACATGCTTTTCCCCCATTTACCAGGCATTGCAAATGTTGACAAAAGTTATTCTGATGAGAGGACATATTATGCACATTAGCACGGTTTTAGCAGCACACCAGTCCTCACTGAGTAATTTGGTATGAGCAGGATTGTTCCGGCGATTGCTCATGTTTGAACAGAATTACTCAGGAAAGTATTCATTGCTTTCAGGATAACAACTGCAGCAGAGAGGTGGAAGACATATGAGGCTAAAGGGCAACACTTGTTAAAGGGATCAATGCACTGCTGGGCTCTGCCTTTACATAAGGATTTATTGAATTGTTCCAACTCTACCTTTTGAATCAAAACACCTAGAAAATGTCCCACTGATGTAACAGAGCAAGGCAGTGAGAGGAGTTCTTAACCAAGACATGAGCAGCAGAAATACTTTGACAAGAATAAGAAGAACAATGGTTGCTTACTCTGGACAGATCTCCAACCTCCAGGTAAAAACAAATGATGAAAACATTCCAGGTCATCCAGATGACGAGCCAGGCTGCATACTGCACACAGAGGGAGACACAGAGAGGAGTCAGACACAGAGAGGAGATCTGACAAGCTTCGGCTGGTGGAATTAAAAGGAAAACATGTTCTTGTCTTGCTTTTGGAGCGAATGAGATGGAGGAAGAGGAAAAACAAGAAGACAGAGGGAGGCTTCACTTTTGATGTTGTTAAAATGCAGACAAGGAAAAACAACAGCGAAGATTGCAACCAATCTTCTGAATCAAATCCGACAGGGAGGGAGAAAGGATTGAGAGTTTCTACCCAAAAAAAAAAAGATTTGTAGGAAAGAACTGAAAAAAGGCTAAATATATGCAGCTTTCATCGCCTGAGTCATCTCACTAAACATTGTTTGTAGGAGTAAAGAGCTGTGTCAAGATTGGGCCCCCACGTGGTAAAAAGATCCTACTATTAAACTGTGACTAAAGCATCACTCAGCCTCTTAACTCCTAAAGCGGGTGCCAGTTATGCTAAACAACAAGTTAAATTCATGATATATTGAACTGCATGAGTGTGTTTGGTGTGCGGAACTCACTCCTGTGACATATTTGGGCCTAAACTGAATGGTGCCAAACAGGCCAAGGATGACGACGATGATGTGCAGGAAGTTGGTCAGGATGGGAGCCCACTGGTAGCCCAGGAAATCAATCACCTGACGTTCCAACACACTGACCTGTAGGATGGAAACAAGAAAGGAGGATTTTAGTGGCATGAAAAAATAAATGTGATAACCCTGAGTTCACACGCAACAAAACTACATGCAGTAAATATAAGTCATATAAGTTTGTTTTTAGCTAATGTCACACTGATCTATATGATGGGGAAATAATGGGCTGGAAAAATCTAAAACTGTGAGTCAGGGAACAGAAACTGAATCCGGTCCTGATTTTAAAACAAGTGATTTCTTGCTCTTTGGCATGGCTTAGCTAACTGGAGGGAGTGTTTGGTAAACACAGGTTTTATAACCTCCTAATATCCACCTCATTTTGACTTTTGGGAAATTCTCGACTATTTTGCATACCCAAATGGGAAAGCAAATAACCGAGGAACCATAAGCCCAAATTACATGTGTGATACATTATTTGAAAGCTAACACCTTCTAGTTTCTGAATAAATACTTGAAAATTGGGTGAGTAAAACACCCAAGCTGCATCAGCTCAAACAAGACTCAAAGTTGTTTATTATTTTATTCTTGAAAATAATAGGTTTCTTTTGAACAGCAGTTATAAAGACATGCTTGCTTGTTGTGGCTGCTTTGTCATGGTACATTTTGACATGCTACTATATCTGTGTTAATTGCGCTTTGGTGCTCGCTATGTCCATAAAATGAACTAGGTGGTTGAATTTTGGGGAATCTAAGCTTTCGTTTTAAACATTTTACCAGTGTAACACTTTAAAATGTGTCGCTGGCGAACCGGTGGGTTTTTGAGAGGATAAGGTTATGCTTTAAAACCGGTAATATTCCCATTTAAGTCCTTTTGAGCAGATACCAGAGAAAACACTAGAATGACTGGTGCTTTAAAGCAATAACATGCAAAAAGTAGCTACCTCCTGGGTTTATGAAATAAACATTTTTTCATACAAAAACTTTCCAAAATTTTCCAGAATATTTTGCAAAAATGTCATAATATTTTTTATATTTATGATTTAATATAATCTGTTTAAAAACTGACAAAAAATACAGACTGCTGACTGGATGGATGGGTGGATCTCATCTACCAGGACCAAAGCTGTGATGCTTGTCTCACCTACTTCTGCAATGTGCTGACCAACTGGCTGAAGAGAAGCACTAAATTTTGTGTTTACAAAAAAGTTTAACTAAGTTGTTTGGCATTCATGGTTTGAGAAGGAGCAACACCTATCACATTTAAAGAAATAATGCAGTTTTAAAAGAGTTAGCAAGGTACGAGATGTACGTTTGTTTAACAGCTGACTGTAGACCCAGCTCATATACTCTTACACTCCCAGATCTCAATTATCAGGAGCAAAATGGTGAAAAGGCAAAATATTCTATCTAATGTGCATTTATACTTAAGTGTATATAAAAACATCTAAACTACAATAAGGAAACTGTATGGATTATAGATTTGATCAACCAAATATCATGTTCTCTTTTTTTAACAGCAGTAAGATTACTGGATGTTTTTTCTGTTTCAAAAGAAAATGATTTTACTTTTAGTAAAATTTTATTGGAAATTTTAAAACAGAGATTTTGTATTATTTTTTAATTTCTCATACTACAGAATTTCTAAACTGTTTTAGGATAGCCCTAACCCCTAACCCCTAGCTTAAAAAATCAGTATAAAAAAATTAAAGATGTAGAAGGTCATTATTTGTTGAACTGATTTTAAAAAGATCATTATTCTTTTCAAATTATTACCTCTTCACTAAATTTAGGAATGAATCTAAAAAATAAATTGAAAAATAGGGTAAATAAGACATAGGAATTGTAAATATTAGCTGTTTAACTTGATCCAGGATTTATTTAATCCTGCAAAAGGTTGATTTTGTTTCACAGTAGAACAAAAGAAATGTGAAAAATGCCACCTCACCTCTGCAGGAGACAACAGGGAGGTAAATGACACACTGTTAGTGAAAGATCTCAGCTTTAGAATAGCTACACATTAAACTGCATGTGCAGCCAACACTTTTCACTTTTGGGGCCCTCCCTATACAGATATGTATCCATAACATGGAAATTTAAAAGCAATGCAGAGTGTCTGTTACTGTGGAGTGTTTAAGCTGAAAGGAAATTTGGTATTTGTGCACTGTAGACAGTGTGTCATACTTATGCATGTTAAGCCCCTGTCACACCTTGGCAATTAAGCCAGGGTATGCCTGACGAACGAAAAATCTGACAAAAACGCTGGCCTACGTTGGATAAGTTATGGGTCAGTTTTTATTAGTTATGAGCGCGCTGAAGTAAGCTGAAACATGCTGGCACAAGTAAACATATAGCAAGTACATAGAGAAATTTCCACACGTATGCCAGCGTATGCTCATACGTGGGGCATAAGTTACAAGTAAGTTATTTGATCGTTGACATATGCTAAGTGTAAATTATTCGTAAGTTGTAGCGTCTAGCCTATCCAAAACCTATGAGTATCTCATTTATGTGTAGCTTATCGAGAACTTATCTCATACGCATATCAACGTATTTAACATGTTCCGGTTAAGAGCTGAACGTGTTTCTAAGTTAGAGCTACTGTATAATTGTTGGGATCCAGAGGTTTGCCCTCCAGAGGGCGATGTAGATCCTTCTCTGTGGGTTTCTGTGTTTCTGTTGGTATCCAGAGGCTTGCCCACCAGAGGGCGCCGTGGATCCTTTCCTGGGAGCTTCTGCTCAGCGCTCACACCTGATCCCCATCAGCTCTGTTGATTAAGCTCTCCCTACTTAAGCTGAGGGAGAGCTTCCCTCTGAGCCGGATTGTTGTCCTTTCCATGGTAGCAAGCCTGAGCCACTCTGCCTGTCTAGAACCTGTTAACCTGTAAGTCTGAAACCTGTAAACCTGTACATCTGAACCTAACCTGCTCTGTCCTCTCTGCCTCCCAGGAGGAAACCCTGTGTTTTCCAATAAATATTGGACTTTTATCCTGCCTCTGTGTCCATGAGTTCCTCATCTGGGCTAGTAAACCTGCCACATCATGACAATAATGTTGTTTAATGGAATCTTCTTGTGCTTTTTATGAAGGCTGGGTGCCACTGGGCAAATCTCTGCCCCCCTCAGGACTGACTTGTGACATTTCTTGGGCATTACGTTGCCATGTGTTATGCATAAGTTAGGTTGTTGTTGGACATAAGTTCTGGACTGGTTATGAATGCTCCATGTAGACACGAAAAATTGTAAAATTAGAAGGAAAGTNGTTATGCATAAGTTAGGTTGTTGTTGGACATAAGTTCTGGACTGGTTATGAATGCTCCATGTAGACATGAAAAATTGTAAAATTAGAAGGAAAGTTCAGTGTATCCCAGTGTTTTATAAGATTCTGGCATATGCTGGCTAAATCCTAAAGGTTTGACAGGGGCTTTAGGTAAAGTTGCATTTCACTTCTTGGGGTTTAACAGAAAATGTTATGCGTCCGCGACTGCAAAAAGTATACCAGCACCCCAGCCCCTTATGGCAACAGCAATTTGGTATGTTGCTGTGAAAAAATATAATTTACACAATATCACCCCTACATTTGTCAAATGTCGGCAGTTCTTTTATTATGAAGCTGGTTATTTATTCGGTCTAATCCTTTTACATGTCCATCAAAGTGCGTTTTCACAAGATTGTGTAAACCAGCCGGCTTGTATAGTCACGCTTTGAAAAGTCGCATATTTCTGTGTGAATGAATTGCAGAGCTATATAATCAGTAATTCAAACTATTCTGTAGGTGGGAGCCATTCAAAAGTTTTCACATGAAGTGTAACTTTTTCTCTTAAAAACATAACTCCACCCTAGACAAATAAAAAAAAAAAAAGTCAGCAAACTTTGAGGGGCGGAGCTAAGTGAAGGGATGGGTAGCCACGGTGTGGTAAGGAAGCGTCAAGAAGCTTAGCCATACTGAAGGACGGACAATGAGCAGATTGATTAAAATGACGCTAGTAGTTAAGTAACCAAAATGTGCTGTATTTTGCAGCCCATTTGACACCAGAGATTGAAGGAGGCTTTGTTAAGTCCATTAGGCCAGAGCATATTTAGTACGAGCCATTTGCCTCAAGGACTTACCCAGCAACGGCCAAAGCATTGCTGCTTAGGAAGCATAGGACAGGTCGACTTGCTATTGAGGCGTGTGTCAGTTGTATTCATACCCAAATGCAGGATCAAATATAACAAAAAGCCTGTACAACTGACTACATATAGTTTATAGTTTAAACCAATAGGAAAATATACAAAAGTGAAAAAGTGCAAAAGCCATCATTTAACCACATAGGGCAGCACAAAGTTAAACAGACCAGGAACACAACAAGATCTGCTCTACAAATCAGGTACACAAACAAGTAGTTCACTGTTTTAAATAAAAAAAATTTATGTCAGTTTGCCATGTTTTATAGTAATGTTAGTAAAAAGTAGTCATACTTTGAGCGTGTCAGTTATTCCTCTAACAACACACACACTAATTCAGCCTCTTATCGATACTATGTTGTTTAAACCAAGACACTTATTTACAAAACGTTTATTTGTTTCACATTAAATGGAACTGCATGTAAATATTTTACAAAGGAAATAGGTGTGAGGAAGCTAGTTATAGTCTACCCACTAGTACAGGTTATGTTACGTTGGACACACATACTTCAGAAGAAGGTGAATAGGTGATTTCTTGAGTAAGAGCATTTTTCCACCTGCTTTATCTTTCAAAAGAAAAACTAAAATAATTATCTTTCCAAATGTTAAAGGGTCTGTTCACTGTTCAGCCAGAGTAATAATTCTTAAACTTTGCAAATTGCTCCAACATACCGTTTAGATGTTTTAAAAATCGAATGAAGTTCAATTTATCTCTAAGATAAAAATAAAAAAAGGAAATATTTAGCGTACACATCTGTCTGTTGAATTCCTATCTTTGCTGTGTTTCATATATCCAATTATTGAGATCTTTGTGCAATGCTGTATAACAAAAAACAAATAATTTTGATACCATAACAAGGTTTTCTATAAACTATAGCATCTGATGTTACATACAGTTATGATA